CCACCCGAAATCACCCCCGTGCAGCTCCCAGGGGGGTGGGGAAGAGCTCCACGGAGCCGATTTGGGTCTGGGGGGACAAATTGGAGCCAAAATCAGTGAGAGGACTCAGGGTCGGATCTGCTGCAGCTCAGTGTCCCCCCATGGCTGCAGTTTGGACACTGAGGATGGACACACCGGACATGCACCCAAGGGTGGGGACCACCCAAAATCATCCCCGTGCAGCTCCAAGGAGGATGGGAGAGAGCTCCACGGGACTCGGGGTCGGAGCTGCGGCTCAGTGGCCATCCATGGCTGCAGTTTGGACACTGAGGATGGACACACCGGACACACCGGACACACACCCAAGGGTGGGGGCCACCCAAAATCACCCCCGTGCAGCTCCGAGGAAGCCGGGAAAGAGCTCCAGGGGACTCGGGGTCGGAGCTGCAGCTCAATGGCCCCCGGTGGCTGTGGTTTGGACACGGAGGATGGACATGCCGGACATGCCGGACACGCAGCCAAGGGTGGGGGCCACCCAAAATCACCCCCGTGCAGCTCCGAGGAAGCCGGGAAAGAGCTCCACGGAGCCAATTTGGGCACGGGGAGAAAAACCAGAGCCAAAACCAGCGAAGGGACTCGGGGTCGGAGCTGTGGTTTGGACACTGAGGATGGACACTGCGGACACTCCGGCCACACTCCCAAGGGTGGGGGCCACCCAAAATCACCCAACTGCAGCTCCGAGGCGGGTGGGGAAGAGCTCCACGGAGCGGATTTGGCTCCGGGGGGAAAAATTGGAGCTGAGATCAGTGGAGGAGCTCGGGGTCAGAGCTGCAGTTTGGACACTGAGGATGGACACTCTGGACATGCTGGACATGCACCTAAGGGTGGGGGCCACCCAAAATCACCCAACTGCAGCTCCGAGGCGGGTGGGGAAGAGCTCCACGGAGCGGATTTGGCTCCGGGGGGAAAGATTGGAGCTGAGATCAGTGGAGGAGCTCAGGCTCGGAGCTGCAGCTCGGACACTGAGGATGGACACTCCGGACATGCCGGACACGCTCCCAAGGGTGGGGGCCACCCAAAATCACCCCCATGCAGCTCCCAGAGGGGTGGGGGAGAGCTCCACGGAGCCGATTTGGCTCTGGGGGGAAAGATTGGAGCTGAGATCAGTGGAGGAGCTCGGGGTCGGAGCTGCAGCTTGGACACTGAGGATGGACACTCCGGACACTCCGGCCACGCTCCCAAGGGTGGGGTCCACCCAAAATCACCCAACTGCAGCTCCGAGGGGGTTGGGGAAGAGCTCCACAGAGCTGATTTGGGCGCGGGGAGAAAAACCGGAGCCAAAACCAGCGAAGGGACTCGGGGACAGAGCTGCGGTTTGGACAATGAGGATGGACACTGCGGACACTCTGGACACTCCGGCCATGCTCCCAAGGGTGGGGGCCACCCAAAATCACCCAACTGCAGCCCCGAGGGGCACGCGGAGCTCCGCGCTGGGCACAGGGAGCAGCAGCAGAGGGGCAGCGAGGCCACGGTGTGCGCCAAGAACAGCAAGGTCAGCTCCACCGGCGAGAAGGTCGTGCTCTGGACCAGGTGAGAGTGGAGCTCACGGGGATCGGCCCCGCCTCCTTCCCTTCCCTTTAAATCCCATTTTCTGTCTTTTTCCCCTTTCAATTCCCATTTTTGGCCTTTTTTCCCTTTCAGTTCCCATTTTCTGAATTCCCATTTTCTGCCCRTTTGAATTCCCAATTTCTGCTTTTTCCTTCTGAATCCCCATTTTCTGAATTCCCATTTTCTGAATCCCCTGTGAATCCCTGTTTTTAAATCCCCATTTTTCCCTCTTTCCCTGTGAATTCCCATTTCCTGTATCTTCATTTTCTAAATTCCCATTTTTTCTCCCTTTCCCTTTCAATCCCCATTCCCAAATTCCCATTTTTCCCATTTTTCCCTGTGATTTCCCCGCAGGGAGGCCGACAGGGTGATCCTGACCACGTGCCAGGAGCGCGGAGCTCACCGGGACACYTTCCACGCCATCTCCCACAAATTGGGCAACAAAACCCCCAACGAGGTGAGCCTGGCTAAGCCCGGCCTAAGGGGGCCCCAAAAAATTCACTTTGGGCTCAAATCATCCCTAATTGCAAAGAAAAATCAAAATCAGAACAGAAACAAACCCGGATTTGCGCTGCTGGAGCCAAAAATTTGTTCCTGACATCTCTCAGCTCACTGCGGGTTTTATTTTT